TAAATTGTTTTTGTATAAAGTTGCTTACTATAGTATTAGTTATAATAAGTACATTCCATTACTTTCGTAAATAATTACTTGAATGTTTGTTTTTATATTTTGATAAATTAATTATTATTTCACTGATCTAATTTCCATTTACATATGCTTGACTACAGTTCTTTYGACATAAATTCAATTCAATAAAACTCAAAGCATTGAGAGTATTGAGACCATTCCATTAGTATAAGTTACCAACGTTACCATACGAGTATTGAGCCTTTTCTATTTATGTAGCTGTGCATATTGGCCTTCTGTAATTTGGGCAATGTTCCCACTGTCACAAGTTGTTCGATTGTTACAACCGCCAATCACGAAATCAAATCGTAATCAACCCATAATTTAGCAATTAATACCGATCATTATATTCAAATTATTTATTTTCAGTCGTTTTCCATTTCAAAATTGAGAGTATAAAAACGTTATGGTCCAGAGGATTGGCATGGATAATTATCTTAGATGTAGTATATTGGTTTGGCAGTCAAGCAGAAAAAATATCCGAAAAATCTATTATGCCCGTGATGACATTTGCGGCTCTAGTACATCACGATTCTCCCACGATTACAATGAATCTTATACTCTGTAGGCTGTTAGGTATATTAGAATTAGATACATTAAAATTTTTTATGTTAAATGTGTATATATATATATATATATATATATATGTATCTACGTAATTCAAGATAGGATAATATTTCATAGTACGGCACTACGGATAATTATAGATAATTGAAAATAAATGCAAAGTAATTATTATAATATTTATTTTTTTTTTTTATTTGGGATGTTAAAATTACAATTCATTTCTATATACCTATAGCTTTAATATAGTGAATAAAAAAATTTCAATTTTATTACAGATAGATACTTGTAACTAACCTTTTTAGTTTTTATACAACTTCCGAGTATTAGGCCCTCGGGACATAAAAAAATGTCTGCTTCACTGACTGCTTGCATTACTATTACGATTTAATAGTATGTGAGTATGTCTGTAAACTGCAGCTGGGCTAGGTGTATGTAAATAAATGATTTCTAACATAAGGTATGATACATAATATTATATATGCACGGTATAATCACAATATACATATTATTTTGAGATACTATAAAAAAAAAATCATATACATACTGATAGTATAGTATAGTATAATATATTATAATATTAAAAACATTTTTTATAGGAATTCTATGATGCACGATGCACCCCTAATAACGATAAAAAAAAATATTCAGAATATGATTAATGATTATTAATTTTTTAACTTTTGATATTATAATAATAAATAGCTTAAAAGCTTAAAACGGCGAACCTAAATAATAAATTCCATATATCTAAAATATAACAACAATTTATACAATCTACATAATGATGATAATATAATTTGAAGTTTAAACTAAAAATATTCGTAATTTGAAATATGCATACAGCATTTATTATTATCCGATAACTGTATTATAATAAGATATTTTATTTTTTTWAATTTAATTTAATTTTTTTAATTTGCCTTTTATTAAAAAATAAGATATTGTTACGTAAGACTTGTAGTTTATATTGTTTATACATACCCAATGGATAGTTATGGATTTATGATGTTAGGTATTAAATATTTAATTGTTTTATTAGTTTAGGATAAGTTATAAGACGACGCTTAATATTAATTAACTATATTTTTAAAACGGTATAAAGTTTATTAGAATATAATACGTAACAAAAACTATTTCAACTTATGTTCGTTCACAAATGGCAAAACACTTGTTTAAACAACGACACTTGTGTATAAGTATATTATTATCATTGTTGTTACTACGTTAACACTGTTTACTTTCCGTGAATAATAAAAGTTACTAATACGACCTTTATTCCTATATTTAAAAATATATTAAATCACTTTGGTGTGTATATTCATTTTCGTATACCTATAGTTTAAACTAAAAMGCTAGTACATTTTTCTAGTAGTTTTAGGCCAAAATTCTTTACACAAATTACATGTGGTCATTATACACACATGTATTTTATGTTATTAAGCATTTAACAAAAATTTTAAAGTATCAAAAATAAAATTATGTGATGAAGAATTATTATTCTTTGAGAAAGCAAAAATACAATAAAAGGCTCCTATTTTTGTGAAATCTGGTAATTTTAATACTAACTAATACCATTTAATTGAACACCAAAAACAGGTCTTACAAGTGGTAGYGATAAATTGTATATACCAATAAGTGCGTGACACTCGCTATTATAACATATACCTAGTAGGTTTTATACATCCTACAAAAACTACCATTGATAATTATTTAATATTTTCCTTAAATAAATTGTGTTTGACCACTATATTTTTAATCATAAAATATGTCCAGTATTTTAGTTAACAAAAGTATTGATAATATTAGAAAGTAAATACTGTATAGGTAGCACTGTAGTTGGTATATATCGTTAAGTGGTTAATGTATGATATTAATTATTGATTGGGCTTATTGTACATCTCATTCATGATGAAACAGAAAATATACATTATATAGTTACAATAATTTATTTTACTAATAGGATGAACGATATTTTCCTAATTAATAAGAAAGTAGTTACATATCAATTTAATATGTACATAACAACGCTAATATGGGAGATTTAAAAATGTATTGTTTTAGAGTTGTAGATGCGTTCACTTTTTCAAAAAATAAATAAGTGACCTATTTTTCTATTAAAACGATCATCAGCAGTCATCGACATAAAATAATAAAATAACTAACATAATATGATAAAACCTAAAAACATATAATATCTTTCAAAATGAAATTATTGGTAGGTATTTAGTATGTACACATTTATTATACCTAAACTTGCAACTTTTGATTATATATTTCAGGAAAGTACTAATAATTAGAGGTTAACAATATTTTTTACTTATATATATTAATTATATTATTGTTTGATTTATTATAACTATACTGATAAATGATAATCATACTCTGAGTTGAATATTTGTTTCATTTTAGTATATATTGATGATTGACAAAATTTGAATATTAAATTATTAATGCGGTTACTAAAAATATGGCGTTTGTACTTTGTAGACCTTTTATATTAAATTATACAAGTCAGTAAGTGACGTATTGACGTCGATATTTGTCGAATGCCGCTTAACATCCAAATATTTATAATATGTTTGCAAAATATAATTTCCGTTTGATGTCATTTTGTCCCCTTCGCGACCTAATATAAATGTTTTAAATTCGATGTTAGTTTGCTAAAAAAAAGAAGATATTTGTAGTCTTTCATCATATCAATTTTTCCGTTTTTATATAAAAAATTGCAATACTCGTAAATTGTATCTATAGAATAAGCAGTTGAAGTATTATTGTAGGAATTATTTAAATGTTCAATAACTTACGTATATTCATATTTTACAAAAGTCATCGATGATAATTGAGACTAAACTAATAACTATACACAAGTTACTTATGATATAACACTATGATATAAAAAATACAAGATATAATAATAATATTAAGTTAATTTTAAATATTCTGGAAATATTTTTATTTATTAATTTTTTTTTTTTTTGGGTTAATGATGTTAAGAAAAACAATGCAGAACGGTTCAAATGTTCGGGAGCTATGCCAGAAAGTGAAGTGTGCACAAATTTTGTTTTGGCAAAATATTGTTCATAGTAATTAACTTTATTAGATCACATTATATAATACAATTTGGCAATTGAGTATAACCTCAAAATTTCCACTGCATAAAATAATGCGTGTTTAGCTCATCATATTATTAATTGATTATTTGTTTTTATAATACATTTACGAAATTCCAAAAAAATAAATACTGTAAGCATCTGCTACTATCATGTACAAAAAATGCTTAAACACCGCCTAGATAGTATATTCTCGACATCTGCGCTGTCAAGTAAATATTACATAAATAAATCCAACAATAAAATGAATTTGTATATGGCTTAATAGCGACCAATAGTAGATAGTTATAAATAACTTTGGAATAATAAGTTAAACAAAAACTAAAAATTGGTGTACTTTTTAAAGACACAACTTATACAGATGAGTTTTTGTTTTTAATGGGTTCACCC